TACAACACTCAGATAGCAAAGACATAAATTTCCTTCTAGCATTAGCCATGACCCTGAAATCTGCAACTGATAATCTGATTTCTGATACATCCTATTTGATTGCTATGTTGGGGTGCAATGATATATACCGAATTAGTGAAAAGCTTGATAGTTTAGGGGTGAAGTATGACTCTTCAGAACCATCAAAGCTTGAACTGCCTATGCCTGGCACTCCTATACCATCTGAAATTCACTATACTCTTCTTATGGATCCAATGAATGTTTTTTATCCAGGTGAATATGTTGGTTACCTTGTTGATGCTGAAGGGGGAGATATCTATGGATCTTACCACCCAACCTATACATATGCTATCATAGTGCAAGAAGTAGAAAGAGAAGATGATGAAAATTCTAGCTTTCTAGGCAAGATTTATCAAATTGACATTGGGTACAGTGAGTACAAAATAGTAAGTTCCCTTGATTTATACAAATTCTCAAGACCTGATGAGAGTTCGCAGAGCAGGGACAGTGCACCATCTACTCCGACTAGTCCTACAGAATTTCCAGCACATGGGCCAAGGACAATTCCTCCTCTTTTTCCCGGACGAGAGAGTCACAAAACATCATCATCATCTAAACATCATTCTCCCAAAAAGGCTAAAGCAAATTCTCTATCAGAAATTTTAAGGGAAGTTACATCAGTGGTGGAACAAGCTTGGAAGCTTCCAGAATCTGAAAGGAAAAAAATTATAAGAAGGCTTTATCTGAAGTGGCATCCAGACAAAAATGCAGAGAACCTTGATATAGCCAATGAGGTTTTTAAGCATTTACAAAATGAGATCAACAGGTTAGAAAAGCAGGCTTTTATAGACCAAAATGCAGATAGGGCATCCAGAAGAACATTTACATCTTCAGCTTCTCGATTTCAGTCAGACAAATTTTCATTTCAAAGATTTTACACTTCATGGAATCAGGAAGCAACAAGCCATAAATCTGAAAGACAACAGTCTAAAGAGAAATGCCCATCCTCTACTGGTCCCTCGTACTCCCAGCGATTTTTTGTGCCACCTACATTCAAATCTGTTGGGAATCCAGTTGAGGCACGTAGGTGGTTGAGACAAGCCAGAGCAAACTTTTCAGCTGCAAGAAATGACCTTCATAAAAATGCCAATGAGTGGGTGTGTTTTAAATGTTATTTGTCTACCAAGTTAGCTTTGATTGCTGCTGATTATGCAGCGAGGGGTAAGTCAGATAAAGATGTGAAACCAGCTGCACTAGCGCAGAAAATTGAGGAATACAGTCAGCAACTTGAAGGCCTTACAAATGATGTCCATACATTGGAAGCCTATGGAGTAGATAGCTTGAAAACTCGCTACCCAGACCTCCTTCCTTTTCCACAGATTCCAAATGACAGATTCACTTCTGAAGTTGCTATGAGAGTGATGGAGTGTACAGCATGTATTATAATAAAACTTGAAAATTTTATTCAGCAAAAGATATGAGAGAGATTCAAAACATGGTGAATGCATATATACCATGCCTCCAACTGCAATTTTTCTCTAAGCTACCTTTTGGTGGCATGTTCCAGTTGATGAGTCATGCACTCAGCCATTCGCTTTTGTGTGATTAGAGTGGGAGTTGTCCTCTTAGCAAAGGGGATCACAGCCACAAATGCGATAAGAGCATGTCTGAGTTCATCTTTGCTAGCAAGAGCTATATATTAAATGTGATGGAATAAAATGTGATTTACTTGTGCAGTTACTGTACTTCAGAGGCTATAGTTTCTAGCAGCTTACAAATACAGTGCGCATATTTCAATGGTGACTGGGGCCAAACTTGATGTTCCATGATGGGCTTGGATATGAGAATCTGGATCATCACTGAATATGCTTTGCTGAACGACTGTGAAACAGCAGGGAGATAGCATGGTTTCATGTTGGGCAGCAGATGAGCATCGAACCCTTTCATGATCATCACATTTTCTTTGCAACCTCTGTCTCCTCCACTTCTCCCTGTTGTCACAGCAAATGAATGGCTGATGTTTGACTACAAGAAAGTGTCTTGCAGAAGCGGAGTACTGCAAGGATAAAGTGGCAAACCAGGGCTTGGAAGCTCCCTACAATCCAACATTTTCCCACTGCAAATAGTGCCCTCCTCCTGCTGTTTTGCAGCAGTTTGATGACAACCTGCTGTTAGTGAAATACTGTTCAGGCCTCAGGTATGCAGGATTTAAATTTAATTTACACATTTTTTAACTGAGCCTTTTAGCAAAATCTTAGAACATGTATTTAATAATTTGCAGGATGAGCTGTAAAATATGGTTATGTACACAAAACAGTGATAAAATTCACAGGGTTGAACTGCACTTTATGTAACCAAAGCTTAGGACTGTGATAGATGAAATCTGTTTGCAATGTATGTGTATATAACCTTGGATTGCATCCGTTCAATTCTATGTTTCCAAGAGGTGTCATTTTTCAGTGTACTAATATAAGATGGGCATATTACTCTCTTAAGTAGTTCAAAAATCTTAGGAGAAAAGTCACTCTGGATTATTCTGTATACATGTATTTTTCATGGAGATTAATTTCACTTCGAATAGTACTGTCTGTAATGTTTCATCAGAAGCTACATTAGAGGTTACTGAATGACTTTTGACACAGCACATAATCTTAAATGTTTATTGACTTCAACAAAAGATTTATTTTTCTTATAACTAACTTTGGTTTTATCTTTTGTTGAATGAAAATTGCATGTGCATTACCTGGCAAAGTACTTCAGTTTCTGTAGGGTTTTTGAAACTGCACAGCAAAACTAATCTTTTACAGAAATTGCCTTGCTTCATTTTTGTTTTGTTTTGTTTTGTTTTTTTTCATGAGCTACCCTTGGGAATAGTGTATCTTGGTAAAGTATTTTGGTATACAGTGGGATAATTTTTATTACATATTAAATGGTGCTGCAATATTACGCTTTTTTATTTTGTCTCGCACTGTCTGTTTTTTAGTTCATACTCTTTCATTTATAAATTGTAATACTTTTGATAATGTCATGTAAATTATTCAATATTTGTAAAAAGATCACAAAAACTTGTACAATAAATCTGCTGCAGTTAGTATTATGTTGCATTATTATCTGATGATCATAATTACTTGATTAGTACACTGAAACTGTAATTTTACTCATGTAAAATAAAAACGGATTAAGATAAGTGTGGAAGATATTACAACCAAAATTATTGCAATATAAAAGGGAAAAAAAGTTGAAAAAAGCTCTTCAGTCAATGGGCTTTCAGTTTGGAAGGCTTCTAAACAAATTCAAGGCTTTGAAATCTTTGATTACTTTTGATTGCAAGGCCATTGTAACTATTCTTGCTGTTAAGTGCCATAAAATAATTTTAATAATAAACTTGAAAAGTCTCCAGACTGGTGTGTTGATTTTTAAATGAGATGCTTCACCAGTAATTATCAGCGCAGGTAAAGGAAAATATTTTTCAGTTCATTGGTTACATTGATGAGATAGCAACACCTAAAATCTGTTTCATCGCAGTTTCTTTTGGGGAAGATTCAAATTGTACCACCACAAATTTTTTGTTTTCCATGTGGAAACCATTTCAGAATAGGATGACACTGGAAGCCAACTAATACTTCCAGCATACATTGCTCTCCTGTTTCTTTTTCAAATATAAAATCATTTCCATTTTAGGACATTTCTTTGATCTCTATTCTGCCTGCTCACCAAAAACAGGGCACTCAATGTAGCTAACAATAAAATCTAGACAGACAAAATCTTAACTAAAACATATAATAAAAATTAATTAAAAGCACAATTAAAATAATAGAATAAAAAGCAGTAACCAGTTAAACCCTTCATCACAAATGGTTTGTGTGCCAAAAGCCTGCCTGGAAGTGGGGGAACCGACCAAGCTTCCCATAGCAAGGAGTTCCAGAGTCATTGTGGACACTAAAAAGGGGGTATTTCCATTCCCACCAAAAGCACCACTGATGGCAGTAGTTCTGAGTGAAAGGCCTCCTCATAAATCCAAACTCAAGCATTTGAGTACAGGAGAAGGCAATCTTTCAGGTAGCCTGGTCCCAAGCTATCCAAAAGTTTTATGATCAGCTTTCCTTAGGATTTTCTTCATCTATATTAGCTGCCCTGTACAGCTATATCTGTTATAATCTGCACCTTAGGTGCCAGGAAACAGACCGATAGCCAGCAAGTCGTGCTCCTTATAACTGGTTCTGGTTAGCAGTCTGGTTGTAACATTCCAGGGACAGTTTACAGTTTTCAAAGGCAGCTCCTCATAGAGCATATTACAGTAGTCCAAACAACAGAACTAAGACATGCATGATGGTCACTAGATGAGACATCTCTGGGAACAGGCACAATTGTACACTAGCCTCATCTGTGCAAATAGCACTCCTGGAGATTGCTAAAACCTGGGACTTGGGTTGATGCACCATTACCATGTGTATTTGGCCATCGCAGAGTAGCAAAGGAAGTTGTAGGGAAGAACAGGGTAATTCAGCTGTTATTTTTTCTTTCTTTCTACTGTCCTCTTTGTCCTTAGTTGCTACATCTTGAGCAGGGCTAAATGATTTGGAATATTGGTGGAATGCAATAAAAGAGCATACTATTTTCATACTTGTGTAAAATTGAGATGAATTATATAGGAGAACAGTGTACCTTTTTTTCAGGTATTTCAGCAATAAAGCAAATCAGCCAAATTGTGTATTGTTTGCTAGTCCTCACAAAATGCTTCGCTCACTTAAAAGTATGTACAAGAATATACATAATATACATAAGAACTCATACATGTATGTTCAGCCATTTTTAAGCTTTAAGTGTAGCTACTTATGTATTTTAATGAAATATACATATGTGGTACAAGGATTTTGAATATGAATTTTAAGTTGCATTTCTCTGGTCAGCAATCACAGCTGGTACATTGATTTCCCTGATTTCCTTGCTATCGATACACTTTTAATATTAATAAAATAAGGTAAAATGGCCAGTGAAGCTGTATGTTTAGGGTGCTTTATTGACAATCATGACTATATGTTACGCAAGTAGAGTCCTTAGCAGCCTCTGCTAAGTAGAGCTTTCCATCTGAGCAAACACAGATTTCATAGAGTCCTTGAGATCCATCAGATTCTCCACTTGTTCCTTGAAGCAATTTGGGCAGTCGTAAAGTCTCGGCATCAAGTGTAAGCTGAATAGAATAAAGACACCAATCAATTTGTGTAACAATAACCTACCACAAAAATGTGTAGCTGGTGAATGTTTGCAAAATATATACACCATATTCTATTCAAGCATTTCTCCTGAAACAATTCTATTTGGTGCAGGAGGGGGTTCCAATCACGGAAAATATTTTAGAAAATTTAAAAATTTCAGGTAGAAATTGCAGACAGTGTTAATTTGGCTTTAACTAGAATAGTTTAATTAATGTCTGAAATCCAAGAAGTTTTGCTGTCTGAATTCCAATGAAAATGAATTTCAAAAATTAAAACAACAGTCTTCTGCTACCATCAATCATTTACCTTCTGCAAGAATTTCAAGGTGGTGTACTGATCTTTCCCTTGTTACCTCCACAACAAGCCTATGAGATTAATCTGCCTGAAAGGAGTAACATACCCAAGACTGTCCTCTCAACTTTATGGCTGTGGAGATTTTTGCCTAGAGTTCCTTAGCCTTGTTTGACTGTGGGTAAATTGTGTGGATTGTGTGATGTAACTATGCTGTAATCCACTGAGGCTTGTTCCTGATCATGAAGCATATGTGTGTGCCTGCAGTGCTCACCCAGGTCTCACTGAACCAGGACTCAGGTCTGTAGCCATGACTTCTAATTTGCCACAATGTCACCAACTTAACACTGCTTTGTGGCCTCATGGAGAATTTCTCAGGTGCCCAATGAAATTTTCTTTTTGCATTTTGTCTGGACAAGATACCCAACTATACATCGATACAATAAACCACAGAAACTGCCAATGAACCATTAGATCTGGCTGTGACTAAAATCAACAGGAACACAACCCAGGCCAGCAACCTTGTCACTTCAATACCAACTGTAAATATCTCTTGAAGTTAACTAATAAATTCTTACCACACCATTGCTACTGGAAAGTATGATGTCCAAACGAGACAGGGCTTTAATACCTCCACCTGGAGCTTTAATATGAATCCCTTGTGGAGCATCCATGCTGAGAGACCGTGTGGGAGATTCAAGTCTGAAAGCAATGAGGAGAAGGGAGATATTTCAATAAGATATCTTTTAACTGCTCTTTCAGTGCAAGTGAGAGAGATTTTAATGGTAATTACTGCCAAGCAAGTATTTACTGTCATAGTATGTTAGAAGGTACAAGCGAGCTAATCTTCCTCTGATCTGTGATGGCCTGGGTCAGATGAATCAATAGAGTCATCGGGTCTGATTTGATAAGCCCAGGAATGAAAATAAAACATCCCTTTTTAGAAGCAAGGGTCAATGGACCTGACCAGAAGAATACGTAAGAACAGACACAGTAGAATAGCTGTTTGTTCCTGGTCCCAACAGGACTGCATTCCACACAGAAGCTCACTGCATTGGCAGCTGAATCTTCACAGAAGCATGAAGAACACTATCCAGCACCACACTTTGTCTCAGCCTAGTTGAGGAAGGGCAGGAGAGGCTGATGGCACAAATGGTTCTGTCCCCCATAGTTGAGGTGCACAGGACACTGCCCCTGCTTCTGCCCTGGCTGCTTCTGCCACCTGAGCTGGTTGCTTCACTCAGTCTAGTGATGAGTTTGGTACCTCAATTACCAGAAGTGGCATGCCTGCATACTCCTGTTGCTGAGGAGCTTGGATAGGAGGACACCTTGCACCCATCCTGCTTGAAGGATCCAGTGAGCATCAGGTTTGCCACTATGTTTACAGAGTGCTGGGCTTATGAGTGGTTCTGACAAACTGGGAAATACAAATGTGAGGTCCTTGAAGCTAAATGTGGCTTGTCAGAGACAATGCTGAAGACCCAACACTTCTAAAAGCATATTTTCAGAAATGCTACCAGTTCCATGTCCACAGCTAATAACCCAACAGAACTGGAGGTAGGGTCATAATATAATGGGAACCTACTGAACCTTCCTGTATAAAATGGGATCCAAATAAAATGGGATCCAAATAAAATGGAACCAGTTGGAATTTAATATTGGAAAGGTTGTAGAGTAACTTCTAAACTGACTTCGAGAGGAAAGACAACAGGAGCTATGAAACATCTGCTTTAGAATAACTTAGGAAAAACAGGTACCAAATAAATTTGTTATATTCTAATCTTCAGTTCTCATACTATGTCTCAAGAAGGAAGATGTGATCTTAGAAATCCTGCCAACGCTTATCATCAAAACTTGACTAAATATAAAACTGCTTGAAGTACATTAAATATAACAAATATTTATAAACTAATAATTGACAAACTGCAAATAAGACCTAATTCAAGCAAAACTACTTGCCCTCAGAAACAAATTATTAATGCAAGTTCCTTGAAAATCCAGTGCCACAAGGGGGCAGAAAAGGCTTACAGACTTCTCACTTGAGAGTAACATAGGAAGTTCACAATCCTAAATGCAAACAGCCAAAGTTAAGAACCTCTGTCACAAAGATTCTTAGGTGAGAGTAAAGCGCATGCTTACATTTTAATAGAAATGATACAACATAGGAACTTGAAAAAGTTAATTTCTAAAACTAGAATTACCTTTTTACAAATTCAAAAAGATGTGCTTGATGTGCTCTTTAATATGGCTATTCTTCAGGAACTTAACCATCACATTATTTCTGTTCCTTATATTCTTTCTTTCATTGTACTGCTAATTTAGGTATTCTTTGTCTATACAGGCGCCCCAGTGTTTACATTCATTTCTTAGGTTCGCAATGGTTCCCCTGAAAGTGATTGCACTGTATAGCCCTATCTGCTATGGAGTATCACTGAGCAGGTAGAATTGACTTTCTGTTGGATCCCAGAGGATGGTTTGAGAAAGCAAACAGCTGAGATGTGCATACAGAAACCTGATGCTTCAAGCTGTCTCATTATGGAAGCTTCAGTTCAGATCAGGTACTGGCCACTTTAACTCTTTCCCCATGAAATTGTGTGAACCACATACTGCTCTGGGACACACTGAAGTATTCCTGCCTAGCATGTGTTGTTGGGTATGTGTGTCTATCTGAGAAACTAGTCCGCATTCCAGATTACTCCAAACTGATCTTACTTTAGTTTCATGCTTGGAATTTGACTGTTCATTTTAATTTTTAAGTCTCTAGATTATCTAAAAAAAGCATTGAAGTATTTTACATACCTTTTGAATATGCCTGCCATCAGGTGACAGTGATATAAAGAAGCAAAAGAGCAAAAAGGCAGTATGAGCAGCAAAAGAATGTTTCAAAACAACATGTGGAAACAACTTAAGTTGAAACTGAGCAACAGTGTTTGCAGCAGGGCTAATGAACCTCTTGCAAACTGACGGCCAAAACTGATTTTCAGAGAAGTTCTTGGGGCCACATTCCAGTGGTGGCTGAAGCCAAAGCCAAAGGAGCTTCAGCAAGAGGGATGGGCCAAGACTACCAACCTATTTTAGCTCAAAATTTGCTAATACAATGATTTGATTTTTTTCTCCTCATCTTCTTGTTCACTGTTCGCATATGGAGCGATATATAAATCTTGTAGAGAGCTAGATTAATAAATTTCATTTATTGCTTGCTTGCTTTTGTATGCCGTCCTATTATACAAGGTCTCAGGATATGAGGTCTTAGGCATTTTGACAATCTTGAATGAGGGGGAAAATTGCAAACCATCAAAACTCAGCAGAGGAATGAGGTGAAGCCAGGAATGGAGAGTGGCCATCTGGGGAAACTTGGAAAGCTGCACTGGGACATCAACAGGCCTGATTTGGTCTGAGGTTTGACATTCCTGATTTACAGTCTTCCCCTCTTTTTCACTACTGAAAGCAAAGGTCCAGCACAATTGCAATGATTTCACATTCAATCTTGTTTATTGCAATGTCTTACCAGGAGCCTAGGAACAGAACCCTTTGTAAAAGGTGGGGCATAAATCCATTGCTTGCTGTCCAGTTGTGTTCCTGTGCTGCTTCAGGGCTCTTGAAGCATGAAGCTTCCATGGACAAAAAGGAGGGGAAGTGATTTTCACTCACATTTCCCCTTCCCTTGGCAGTTCTTTACTGCCTCTCCCACCTCATCTGGAATACTGTGTCCAGTTCTGGGCACCAAGATTGAAGAACAATGCAGAGAAATTAGAAAGCGCCCAGAGAGGAAGGCAATAAAAATGATCCAGGGCTTGGAAACATTGCCCTTTGAGAGAACCAGGTATGTTCAGCCTTGAGAAGACTGAGAGGGGGCATGATATCACTTTATAAGTACCTGAAAGGCTGTCACAAAGAGGAAGGACAAGATCTCTTCTCACCGATACCAGAGTGTAGGACACCAAATAAACAAGTTGCAACAACCCAGATTCAGGCTAGTTATCAGGAAAAGTTTCCTCACTATCACAACAATACAACAGTGAAACCAGTTGCCTAGAGAGGCTGTGGGCTCTCCCACACTAGAGACATTCAAAAAGAAACTGGATGGCCATCTGAGTGGGATGGTGCAAACTGTTGTCCCGCAACAGCAGGGAGTTGAACCTGATGGCCTTCATGGCCACCTCCTACTCTACTATTCTATGATTCTACTTGAGATGGCTGAGGGAAATTTTGAATTGTATGAGAGGTGCTGATGATGGCAGCTGCAGGAGAAAGGGGGAATTTGCAAAAAACAAAGCAAACAGCCCCCCCGCCCCCGCAAGCTGGATCCTATTGTGCTGATGGAAACCTTCACCAGATCAAAGAGCCATATGTCATTCGAAGAACACAACTGGATACAAACCATAAAGCCATAACCATGACAGCAGAAAGACAGACCTTTTCAATAATAGGAGATGCATCCACAGTGAAACCTCTTTTTAGCTTAAGCAGCCAGAAAATATCTCTGTGTTGCAAAACTAGACAATAATTGGTGCTTCGGATTCCAGCATACTCAGAGCTGTTTGTGTCAAGAATGAAGTCCTACACATTTAGAAAGGCAATTAACATCTTGAACATTTGCAGAATTCAGTATGGGGAGCACTGTACATTGTGGCACAATTAATGCATTAATGAAACCACTTAGCTGAAAATAAAATATATGAACTGACCCAATCCAATGACAAGGGATTCAGTGAATACTTTTATTCCCAGTAAGAAGTGCTAATGCAGAGTGTGTAGGCGTAATCTACCTCCTCCTATTTCTGGAGTATTTGCACAACAGATTCCTTCCTAATAAATCAGTCTCTCATGAAATTCAACACCAGGCTCAAAACCAAGAGACCATGCAATAGAAAGGGCCTTTATATCAGCCTTCTGATGTTACGTTCTCAGTTAGAATAACTAACACATGTTCAGAAATTAATATCACAGTACAGTGCCTTGCAGAAGTATTCACCACCCCCCTCTTTCACTTCTCCACGTATTGCTGCACTACAACCTGGAACGAAAATCAGTTGTTACCACTTGATGTAACACAGGATATTCAACACTGTGAAGGTGCAAAATATTTTAGTGTGGCACAAAAGTTTAGCAAACAAAAAGACAGACAAAAGTGTGTGTGTGTGTGTGTGTGTGAGAGAGAGAGAGGGAGGGAGGGAGGGAGGGAGGGAGAACTTCTGCAGGGCACTGTGGATAAAATCATATAGTTGTATAGTTACTTTTCCTAGACACAAATAGCCCTAGAAACTGTGGATCTTGAGGCACCAGTCAGATTAGCTTTCAAGACATGGTGACAGTTTTGAGACGAGAGAAAAAATAGATCTAACTTTGGAAGAGTAGTTTAATTTTTGCGGTACCTTCACTGCTTTAGAATACCAGGTAACCCAGGTTTTGCTCCAAAACTCCACTCAACAGGAACAACAAAACTTAGTGACAAGGTCTGTCACTGAAAACAGCAACTGCACATCACATTTTTCTTCCATAACATGAGCTATATAATGTTCCAATATTATGGAGCTGGGTAGGCACGGTGATATGCCGCACATTCCCATCATTAATATTATGGACCAAAGAAAAGAACTCAGTCTGGGTTTGCCATATGTTAGTCAACCTTCCTCCATGTCCCAGCAAAAGTTTGCTTTAAAGCACCTTGATTTGAAGGCAGTGCACCAAAGAGCTTTTAAATGACAGGCCTTGCAGATTCTGAGAGTAACTAGTTAACAGGACCTTAAATATTAAGCACAGGACCATGACTTTTGGTACCCTGCTAGGCTTAGAAGTGCTTTAGTAATGAGTCCTCTCCACTTCTTTTTCCTTAGCTAGAGCTGTCCCAGTATATCATCTAGTTAAATGGCTGTTGGTTCATGGCCCAACTGGAGCATCACGAATGTTTAAGTGTAGAGAGCACACTCCCAAAATTAAAATTTAAACAATGAATATGTACTTTCCATGATTTGTCATTGTGACAAACTGTATACGGCCACATGTGACCTGCTTGTGAACCAGAAAATATTTTGAGAGATAAAGCATCACCATGCTCTGCATTTTCCTACCCCATTATTAACACATTAAACACCACACCCAATTATATATGATACAAGAAGTTAAGAAATCAACCCTATTCATGTTGAAAATAAAACATGAACTTAAAAAATATCAAGTTCATACTCCTCTTATACATATCTTTGGTGTGGTCTCACTTATGTAACATTTCTCAGTTCTTGTTTCCACACCTAAGAAAGGACATTATAGAATTGGAAAAAGTGCAGAGAAGGTTAAATAAAATGGTCAAGCAGTTGGAGCAACTCCCCTATGAGCTACGGCTACAATAACTGGAATTGTTTAGCTTAGGAAAAAGACAAGTTAGGGGAGATGTGCTAGAGGTCTACAGAATTATGCATGGTGTGGAGAAAGTGGAAGAGATGTCATCCCATGAAGCTGACTGGTGTTTGATGCAGGACAGATAAAAGTATTTCTCCACACAGTGCATATTTAAAATATGGAATTCACTGCCACGGGGAGTAGTGATGGCCACCGGTTTCGATGCTTTTAAAAGGGGACTGAATAAATTCATGGAGGAGAAGGTTATCAATGACTACTGGCCTTGTTGGCTATATGCCGCTTCTGTTATTAAAGAGGGTATTCCTGCGTACACCAATTGCTGAGGAGCTTGGACAGGTGGAACTCTTGTACCTATCCTGATTTTGGGATCTTGTGGACAGCTGGCTTGCCACCATATGAATTGAGTGCTGGACTGGCTGGACCATTGGAAGACACTTTGGCTCTTCCCTCCCAGTCTGCTTTCCTTTTGTGCTGTGTGTTTTAGATAAATCTGAGGCTGGGACATCTTTGTAAGCCATTCTGGTAACTCTTTTTCCAGCTGAGGTGCAGGGTAAACTGCTTTAAATAAGCTTCCATCTTCGAGCCATGTTCTTACCTAAGCTCTTTAGCATTGCTCACACCTTTAACACCTTTGATAAGGGGTGTTTCTATAGAATGTTCACAAAGAGCTCCTTCTGGCCCTGAAACACAGGAAAGAGAAACTGGTTGAGGCCATTAGGTGTCACAGGAAGCAGAAAACCCACCCTTCTGTTATTAGGAGACAACAATCCTAATTACAAAGTGGAAAATTCCAGTAATGGTCATGCAAAACCAGGAAGTTAATCTAAGAGTGGATTTTTTCCAGATATTTCTTCTAAACCTCTATCTTGGGAGTGAGAAAGATGGCAGTCTTGGGCAATTGCTCTCACAGACCTCTGGCTGCATCCCAGTGGATTCAGAATTGGAATGTGAAACAATAAGATTGCAGAGGACAAGCTATGTCAAGATTATGAAATGGAGGAGGAGGAGGTTATTTCAACTGTGCTTCCCCAAACTGGGCAGTTTCTGGGAATGCTCCATAATTGAGAGGGGTCTCTGAGGATGAAAAATTCTCAGATGCAGATCAGGCCCCCTGCTCCTGCCCCCACCGTGAGGCATCAGTAAAGGGAGGGGGGTTTGCATGAGCAGCACATGGAAAGGAGGCATGCTTGCCTACAGAAGTCCCCTTCCAGGGCACGTTCAGTGAAACATTCTTGGAGGTAAACACTAGACTGGGTTCAACAAACTGCTCTGTGCATGCTCAGAGATCCATTCTGGGTGATTTGTACTTGGTAGCAATCAAGTTAGTTTGCAAGAAAAACAGTCTTTGGCTGGTGATTGTTCCAAGGAGTAGCCTTGGCTCATGATACTCTAAGAGTTTCCATGAGACTTTTGGCATGTGCATGTTTTTAACATGTGACGATCATGCACATGGGTTTCATGCTCAATGCATACTTCTTATCCATGTGTTGGGAGCCTTTGCCCAATTGTAGCATTCCAGTACGTGTACTCAGATTGGCTGGTATCCTAATTTGTTCTATTTTTAGTGCAAGGGTAGAGTAAATTAGGATTCAAGCCAATCTTTGCCAACTCCTCTATTTTATTTGAAGCACCTGCATTGCCTATGCCATTCTCAAAAGTTCATTAGTCCTCAGAAGAAGGTGTGAGGGGGCCTTCAGGTGGAAGTACAATCTGTGAGATTTGTTCTGCTCACAGAAGGGAAATCCAGTTACAGGTCAGTGTAACTCCCATGTAGGATTAGTGGATCTTTTGATCTTACACAGCTTTTATGTTCACTTGAAGTTGATGCGGCCAAAGGCAAGTTCCTGACACAAAACATGATGCTGAGTTGGTATCACAGGAATAAAAGCTGCTGCAAATTCTTGGAAGAACTCCAAGAATACTATTATTAATGTCAGCTTATAACACAATTCAGTATGACTGCTCCTGTCCCTTGAGACTTGCTACGGGCATCCTATGGAGGGCAGGAGGAACCTCAGTGTTTTGAGCTTGCTTGTGAGGAAGACAAGCTGAAGCTCCACCAGACTATATGGCATCTCAGCAGAGCATCACTCCTTCCCTCCCTGCCCCTCAGAATGTGCTGTTCTTCCAAATTCAGAACTTCACCTTCATCCTCAGAAAAAACTGCTGGCTGCAAAGGTAGAGAAAGAGTCAGTGTGCTTTTCTGAGGTCAGAATGGGACTCAACTTTTCCTGTGGCCTTAATCAGCACTGAGAGGACCACTTGATTACACCCTTCTTGAAGTTGAATTGAATGACTGTCTTGACTTTATTTTATGAACTAATTATTAATATTATAATAAGTATGCCCATGTATGAATATGGGTATAATTTTGAAGATATTTAATGGATGACACTTTAACTAAAACACACTTTAACTACTCTCGTATTAAACTTATGATCAATGAATTAATTCATCAATAATAATTGTTTTCTGAGGTATTTGATTGTACTTTCAAATGAAAACTTATTTCCTAAAGAGTATTTTGTGCTATTTTAGACTCAAATGCAAACCTGTGACTCGAAGTTTATCTGTACCAATCATAATTTCATCTTCAGTTGCTGTAAAAAGGTGCTTTCCATCCTGGTTCACAGAATTGATCTGAAATTCCTGACCATCGAACAGTACCATGTCAGGACCTAAAAAGTACATAAGCATTAACATTATTAAGAGAATTTGTATTAGTCATCTCTTCTAAAGTTACATATATAAACTGTGAATGATACAGCATATGCTTAAACAGTTTAAGACTCCCAATTGCCCATTGAACACAATGTGATTCTGTTAGATTGGCATCTGCTTTCGGCTTCAGGTTTCTTGCTTTCATTAGTGAAAAGGCAGGCTTTTCCAAACAAAATTGTTCAGGAAAATACTTTGGATGAAATTTGAAGAATGTGTACAGTTCTGTTGTGAAAATTACTAATCATAATAAATAAAAATTTGGGAATGTATGGAGCGAGAAAGAAAAGGATGTAGCAGGAAAGTGAATCAACTCAACAATGTTATGTTAGAATTCCAGATTTCATATAAATAAATTAAAAACCCTCTTATAGCACAACCCCTTCATATTTTTACAGAGGGAAATCCCACTGTGTTCAATTAATCTTGCTGCCAAGTAAAGATGCATAGCAGTGTATTCTTAATCTGCTACCTAATCCATATCTAAAACTATTATCTTGTTTTACTGATTGCATGAAAGGGACTCTAGGTGCCTTTTTGGCTGGCAAGTGAGATAAAAACATTTCAAGAACACAGTGCAACAGGTATGCCTCTAATGCTCCAAACCTGAAGGATTATGGGCATCCTAAGCAGAGTCGAAGGAGTGCAGAAACAAAGGTTACCCCCACGGTCTTGCCACTCTCAAATAGCTACGTTGGCCATCTATTTTGGTGCTTCAAAGGAGGATCCAGGGAGAGTGAGGTGCTGCCAGGACACAGTGTCGTAGAGGTGCCCATCTCCTTCCCTCCCTGCCCTCCGAAATGACCACAACTTCCTTCCCTACACCAGCTCCAAGAAGAAGAGGGAGATTTGAGTGTGGATCCCCAGCTCCAAGTTCACAGCTCCTTTTCAGTCTCATTGCTGGTAATCCAAACAATCCAACCTCCACCAACTGGGAACCAGAGGATTGCTTTGTAATTCACTAACTAAATAAAATCTCAATGTAACTTACCACTGGCATGTCATATAAAAATTGTTGTGTAAATTGGACCCTGATATATTTCTGTGAATAGCATAACAAATTTGATCAGGAACACAAAGATAAAAAGCAAATGGTCCAAATTTGGATTTTCCAGTAAAAGCATACCATGCACATTGCCTTCTCTAGTTAGGTGACCTGTCCAGGGCTATTGGTATGGGATCTGGATTCCAGCCATGGATGCATGCAACTCATCATGCAGTCAACATGTTCAAAAGGCAAATTAAACATACATTAAACCTACCTACACTTAACCTGCCAGTGACCTTCCCATCCTCATTGCGTGCATTTAAGGTCACATTATCAGTAGATTGTAAAAGTAGCAATGAGTCCTAGAGTTCAGAAAAAGAAATGCAAATTTAGAAAGTTTTCAGATGTTCTTTGCAGCAGCAGCTAGATATAATGGCTTCTTACATGTTCGCAATATCCTACAATAACCTTGGCAATGTGGTGGGCACACTGAGCTGCATGACTGGGATTCCTGACCACGCCTGGCTTTGTTTTCACCCACTACCTTCTCCCTCTCTTTGAGTTCTTGAGTTTTTTTCCATCCTTAGCAGTTGAATCTGTTTCATCTCCCACTCCAAGGATGCTGTGACCATTTGAACAGGAGAAGGGCACTTGCAAAAGCAAGCACCTCTTGTTTCAGTACTTGCAGAAACTCCTCTACTTCCCCCTGTCTGGTAAGGTATGTACCCCTGGAGATCTTATGTCTGGAAAAAATTACACATGTAGTAGTAGCACCCCCTTGAAGATTCTGGGACTCTCAGGCTCTGGGAGGGCCTGAGAAAAGCCTCCCACTACCTTATTTCTTTGTCCTATTTTTTTGTGCATGAGTTACTGGTCTTTGGGACCTTTATGAGGGTCATCAAGCTTCTCACTTGGAACATAATTACCCAGCTTTTTAATTATGACATCCCTGCCTGGTTCAGGCAACATGATAACCCACACTAAAGTTGAGTATGGGCTGGGTGTGAGTTGATATTGAACACAGGATTGTTGAAATGTGTGTTAGTGTGATGTCAGAAGCTAGCCCTCTAACCAATACTGCTTTATCAGCCGTTTTATGAAGAGAACTCGTAGTTCATTGCTGGACTGTGAGCTGTGGGTTGTTCGGGGTTAAGAAAGTATATTTTATTAATGCAGCTGGAGTTAGACTCAGACAGCACAATATGACCAGCCAGCCAACCTTTGAATGTGTTTTAGTGCTGCTTATGCCCAGCCATTGTGTTCTGTAGTTTGAATGGTCACTTCCTTCACATACTTCAACGAACACAGTAGACCCGCTCATAGTTCTGGTTCTGGTCTAAGTTTCATCCCTTGTGGCTGGATGTGTAGAAACACAAATCCACATTGCAGTCACATTTATTCCAGCTCTTCCTCACGTGCTGCTGAGTTTAACCTATGTAATATTGTTCATGATCATTTGTATACACCTGTTTTCAAACTTAAGGCTCAGTTCTGTGCAGGCATACTTAGCAGGGAGTCACACTCAATTAATTCAATTATGACATGACTGAATATTTGTGTATAATGTTGCAGCCTTACCTTTCTAGAGTGAACTTCTTTGGCATATAAAGGATATAAAAATTCTGACTCCCCTTCTAGACGAAGTCCCTCACTTTGAACTTCTAGGTATCCCATTCCAGTCTGTAATGATACAAACCCAAAGCAGTGGCAGCACTTGTATCTCTTTACTGATTTTAAAATGCTCTATAGGGAATTGCATCCATTTTTTCACACTTCTTCCTCGTGCAGAACATCTTCAGTTAACATGACGATGATGTTTCAAACTATACCACATGATGAAGATGTTACAGGCATCTTCAGGTGATGGAGTTTGGAACAAAATGGCATACCTAATCTGGCTAGGGATTGCAGATGTGCAGACGTGTTTCTGGCTGGATGAGGCACTGCAAGCACAATAGGTGCCTGCCGGGGAGACCCCTTCTGCAATCCACTGCAATGTCAGCACTGCAGACAAAAGCAGCAGTTGCAGATATCAGCATATGGCGGGCGGGTGGGGGGGAGCTTGGAGGGCAGGAGGAAGCCCTCCTCCCTTCTGAATTTGCTATCCAGGCATTAATGCTGATTGAAGAGGGCTACAGCTATCCCCAGCTACTTTACATGAACATGAATCTCCTTTGTCCCTCTTCAATGAATGGATTTAGATGTTTCACCAACACAGCAACACTTTGCTGAATAAGGCCCCTCAACAATTTAACCTACTGTGACATGGTGAAGACCATGCAAGGATTATAGAACAAATTTAAAGGAATGCAAGCAAATTCATGTTTTCACAGAAATACACACCACTGAATTCATTGAGGCTTACTTGCAGCTTTAAAGTAAGATAGAAGTGCTTAGGCTAGAGCAAAGAAAATAATAAAATGCAAAGCACAATACACAATAAAGGAAAAGCAAACAAAAATATAGTACTCCAAAGCAGCATAAAACATCAGGAGAAATGAAAGGTCTGGTACAGAGCAAAATCTTATCATGATGCTTAAAGACATCTGAGTAAGTACTAGAAGATTACACAACAAGAGTCAGGATAATTCCATTCCTGAGCATTGCCTGGAAAGACCATTCTGCAAGCAAAGGTCAAAACTGAGAAGACCCCAGAAAAGAGAGTACAAGTACATGCAGCATGAAAAAGGAAATTGACCAAGAGAAGAAGACACTTACTGAAGAAAACCACATCACTTTCATTATCCAAATTGTCAAAGCGAGATTCACAACTAGGATGATGATCAGGAGGAGGACAAGCAGATAAAGACAACGCTTTCGCCAGCCGTATATGCCAATGCTGTAGACATACTGAGGTTCTGGTCTTTGTAAGTTACAGCCTGGTGTTGTTGCAGTATATTCTTCACGTACCATCTGCTAAAGAAGAAACAGTTTTAGAGAATCATGACAAATATTACAGCTGAAATATTTAAGTAATCAAATTACTAGGATGCTATCCAGAGTAGCTGCCCATAACTCCCCACATTTGAAGCATTAAGGGGACCCAGTGGAAGGGGAGAGGAACACAAAGATTGGGATTGCTTCTGTGTTCCCCTCACTCTCCAGAACATTTAGAAAACTGAATGGGCATCTAAATGCTTTCCCCCTCCTTGCCAGGAGAAGAGGTTGAGGCACTCTCAGATTACTTCAGAGCTTTGCTCCTTTCCTCCAAAGATGGTTGTACATCTTCTGAGCCCAGCTAGTGTAGAAAGAACCACACCAAAGATGGAAGGGTGGGTCCTCCTAGGTTGGGGCCTAGCTCTGATCTGGATGGCATTTCCAAGGTTGGCACAGGACTATGACCTACCGTAGGGTTCCTGGAAAATGTCCATAGCATTGTGCCCTTAAATTTTAAAAAAGTAATAATATAATCAATCATTTATTTTATTTTTATTTATTTATCACATTTGTATGCTACCCCATAGTCAAAGGCAATGGATAGCAGCTAAGAAACAAAACAAAACCAGGTCGTTATAAAAACTGCCTATGGTAAGTGTTTCCCTTTTGGTTGGAAATGGTTCTCCTAAGAGGTTCTCTGCCATGACAGTGCCTGTATCATCTAAAGATAAAGATATAATCAATCAACATTAATTAATGCACTTTTAATCAGATGTTTGCACTAATGCATGAGCTATGTTACCAGAGTATCAGCAAATTATTCGTGCATAAATAGGATATTAATGCATTATCCCACTCATGTTCTCCATCAATTAGCCATAGCCATAGATAGCCTTTTCCTCAATGAATTTGTGTACTGCAGTTTTAAAACTGTCCAAGTTATTGGCCATCACAGTATCTTGTAGCAGCAAATTCCATAGTTTAACTGTGATGTTGGATGAAGAAGTCTTTACTTTTATCTATTCAGCTTCATTGGATGACCTGGAGTTTTAGTATTGAGAAAGTGGGGAAAGTGGGGCTTATCCCCAAGACACACAGCTTTGCAACCTCAGACAGATAGATGTGTATTTATATTAGCCAATTGCCATGGCAGCTGATATACACAGAATTATAAAATATAATTAATTTAGTGTTGCATCTCATTTTAGGAAAATGGGCTGCTGAAGTAGACATCCTCTCCTCATCCTCCAGAAAACAGCCTTTCCAGTCTACCACAAATGATGCACAAAGAGTTGTAGAGCTGCTGAATATTGTGAATCTTGTTTCTGGGCAGGGGAAGGAAACAGAATCTCTGGGAATTTGGAAGAGGCACTTCCATATGCACATCCCTCATGTCTGCGGAAGACAGATGAAGAATCTGACCATAACATTCAGCCATCATAGGTGGCCTTATTTTAATTGCAGCTGATTAAAATTTATGATTTGGGAGCATCCAGCACTGCTGTGCCAGTGATGCAGTCCAAGAACAAGCCACCTCCAACACAATGCCTGCAGCGCATGTGAGCGACCCAGATTTCCCCAGAAAATCCACTGCACCCACGTATGTACTAAAGGTTGCTTGCTCTAGGGCATAAACAGACTGTAACCAGATTGGTCTTGGGATAAGAAAAGGCACACAGAAATTTGAGGAGTGCCCAGGAGAGATAATAAAAGTCCAGTAATTAACCTTTTCTACAAAGCTCTGCAGAGCAAACCAAACAGCATCAGTGAGCTAGCGTGTTTCAATCCTGCCATCCTCACTTGGCCATACAGATTTTGAACTATGCTTCCTACTCTGAACAGTGCTGCCAAGGGCCAAATTTCAACAATGTTTTGAAATTAAAACTCATTTGTATTGCTTATCATAAAGAACTGTTAATTTTTAATTTTCCAGTATTCTATAGAACATACATGGATATTTATTGTTATACAGGTGGCGTCATCTCTTTAAACTTTTAGATGCCAACTGAAGACATTCCTGTTTGCAGGTATTTTGATGGGTGAATTGGTTGGATTTGAAGGGTTTTGAATGGTCTTTTGCTGCCACATTGTAATTTTAATGCCAGATATTCTATTTCATTAAGTATGCACATTTTTATTTTACTTTATCCAGGTTGTTTTAATTAGCTTAACATATGTTCCTATACATTATGTCCCCTCTCATCCTGATTATTTTACCTTATTCAATTTTATTATTTATTTTATTGGTTATTATATTTATTCGTTTTATTACTATCACTGGTTTTACTGGGAATTATGGATTTTATTGTACTATTGAATTGATTGCATATGTTGTAAGCCATTTTATGGCTAATGGGGCAGCATACAAATTGAATAAATAAATAATACACATAAAAATATACATTGCAACTATGTCTGTTCACTCTTTCTAGACAGAGAGCAAAGCCAGAGCAGAATTGGGCCAGCCTGGTCAGCTGAACATCGTCCCGAGTGGACAATGTGGGCTTCTCTCGAAGATCAACAGAGCTGAACCCACTCCAGAATGGGGCTTTGTTAACACCTCATGCTTCAGAGCTGTAGGAGAGACAGAAACCTTTTTGTTCTTTTTGTCTCCTGCAGATTTTTTTCTTTCTTTTATGCTGCTTTAACTTCTGTTTCTACACAAGTACTGAGCTGGGGGAAGGAAGGAATGTAACTGAGTACTGAGAAATTTACCTTCTATTCCTAAATCATCTTTTACAAGTTTTAACTTCTGTGCTTTCGGGAAGGATGAGGATGGACCTGGGAAATGGATATCCTTCTGATGCCGCCAGGCCCGGTTATGAATGAACCCTTAAGCTTTTTTTTTCTTAGACCCTGCATCTATACCTTTTACAAGGGTGTGCTCTTTCAATACAAATTGGGAAAAATCAAAACCCACCTTCAGGGGAGGGAGAACACAGCATATCAATTTCTTCCCCCCACCTGAGGACTCTTCTTGCAAATAAATCACACCCTTTGCACTAGGGACACACTGTTGTTTTCTGAGCAATGGCTCACAAAGAACTGGAGCCAACAAACACATTTCTTCTGGAGTCCTTGAAAATGTCAAGGCTGCTTCGGAACAAAGAAATATTGCAACTGCCATTCTGAACTTCTTAGGCTTGATCCCCACAGAAGGGAATTCCTACAATTTTCCTCCTGTTCTACCCAGAGATTTAAAGAATCATTGAGGTTTCCTTTAGCAACGTTCCAAACTATAAAGCTGCATAGCACGAAAAACATTGCATCTATTTTTCTGACATTTGACAAGTGTAATTTTCACCTAAGGGACTACTAGGTTTGCAAATATCACCCAATTCTGAAGATGAAGAAGGGAAAAAACCTTATAGCACAAAGCCTGCTATTTTGAACTTCAGCTCATGTTTGGAATGAGGTCAAAGCAGATGGACCCTTAATTGGTACAAGTAAAATTGGACCATTGTGCACTCGGCTGAATATGAGTACAAGTCCAAGTTGGGGGTAGGCAGGCTTCCCCAATTTATTTTCCCTCAGAATCACTATTTTTGGCAGTTTTCAACACAAAATACCCAAATAAGGTTCCAAGTATCTTTTTGTATAAACAGGCAAGATTTTAAAAACAACAAGCCTTTGTCTTTTCTCTAACCATGAATAACAATAATAATAGCACTTGGGGCATATTTAAGAAATGCTCAATCATGTATCCCTTAATTCTAAAATGTTAAGATAAGACCTACAGTATTCAAGGGAATGTACCTTGCCCAAGTCCCATGTGGTGGGCATTGTACAAGGTCTCTGTAGTACGGCAGTTCCACTGTCATATGAACAGTAAAGGGAATAGCAATCCTATGGCTCCTGGCATTGTCCAGACAGATTAAAGTATCTGCAAAACCAGTGTAAAATAATGTGTGACACTGTGTTGGAACACCTTTTGTTAGCTCATTGATTCAACACTCCTGTGACTGAAAGTTATTTTACAACCCCGCCTGTATTAAAACAGGACTGAAATGTAATCCTATGGAACATGTATCTTTAGACACTGACATTCCATCATGAATTCTGCCTTACTCCATATAATTTAAAAGTGTGACCTTTACTTGATTATATTCAACATGAATAAAACAATATTAGTTATATTTATTTTCATTTTGACCTTGGAAATGAAACAAATAATAATGAAAAGTTCCTAGCTGCTAAGAGGTCAGTAGACAGCGATCTGTTTCTTTGATGACGCTTCGAGAAAGCAGCCAGGCAGCATTGCTGGTTAATAATAGTTGCAGCAGCTGTGATACACTTCGAAATAACAAGAGTAGACCTCCTCTTTACTATTTAAAGTGTGTTCTGATAAGCTATCAGCAACAGAACACAAGGAACAGGGTTTTAAAGCACATGTTCAAAGGCTGGGGGAGAAAAGAGAGAGAAACAATTCCATTTGGTGGCTAGTAATGAAAAAAGCCATACAAAGTTCTTTGCATTTGCTCATTAAGAGGATTCTCTCTTGCATTGTTTTTTACTATGCTCTCTTTACAAGTCACCTGTCACTTCCACTGCAGCTTCCCACACCAGCTCCGCCTGATGCCCAGCTTTTTCGGGAACATTCTTTTTTAACTTGACCCTTTACCATACAACCCAAGAAGAGCCTTACTTTGTAGAAACTACAGCTAAAAGTAGCAATGCATTTCTGCACAGCCTCTATTGTTACTACAGTATAAAAGGATAAAAGCATAAAGAAGATGGGAAAACAGCTGCTATCAGAATGCTGCCACATTAACTGCCTATAAAATATTTATACACAACCTTACTTGTGAGCATGACTATGGGAGGTGATATCCCTTTCCAGAATCTAAAAAAAAGTCAGGCTTCAGGAAACAGACCCCTCTGGCTTCCAAGTCCCCTGCCACATTGGGGCAACTTGCACGCTTTGGCCCAACCAGTACCTGATTGTGTTTCTGTAGCTCTCTCAGCACTAATAGATTGTCCCCATCTGTAGTTGTACGGTTAGATGTCTGATTTCCATCTATGTACACATGCAAATGGTATGAATCACGTGAACAGGATTCTTGTAGACTTAACTAGATGATCTGTGCCATGCCTACATTTGGGACGAGCACAGCAGGTTGCTGAAAAGAGGTTCTGTTTTTGCACCAGCTATCTGGGAGGAGGCGAGGAGTGGTGCAGTGACCTTGCAGACGCCCAGACACAAAAGCATTACTCTTGGCACTGCTTCTTGCGAGCCAAACAAGATGCATGTGCTAGCAAAAGGGTCCCATGATACCTGAAAGTGTTTTGGATGGGACTACTCTATTACTGACCATCCCGGCTGCACCCCAGCAAAAGCATTACGTCTTGATTCTACTAAACAAGGTTCCTTTCCCCAGAGATGTGATGCTTGACTTATTTTATACAAACTTCCATTCTCTGTTAAAATCAACTGTGCTCTTAGATCTGTGCCTAGAAATCCATGGCATAAGGTACTCTTCACCAAATCAAGCCGTTACGTTATCTGTGGCCACTGCTGGATGGAGATAGCTTGGTCCTGGTAACATCCTGATTAGACTACTGGATGAACTTGCTGCTGCCCTTAAGTACTTCTTGGAAACCTCAGTCCATCTGCAATACGGCAGCCGGGAACTGCAGCATTCCAATTTTACTAGTTTTAAAATATCCAATGTCCTACTTGCATGCTAACTGCAACTCTGGAGGGGTGGAGAGATCATCTGCATTGGGAGTCATTGTGGGGAGGGGACAGTTAAGCCCCACTGTTTTGCAGACCCAATCCACTTGCCCCCCACCCCACCCCATGCATGCATTTGTGACAAAACACCAAGCCTGGTCCTCTGAAACTCATCTCTCTAATAAGCAGGGTGTGTAGAGTTTTGTCTGCTCTCAGGGCAGATAAACGCCCTTTGAGGACTGAAGCCAGAAGAAGGGGCTGCTTGGGGCAAGAGCTAAATGCTGATTTGACATTGTTCTCAGTGCTGACTGGGAATCCAAGAAGTAGTGCTGAGTGTGGGGAGAAATACTTTCAACCAGTTACTAGGCAGAACTTCTCTGCAGCTGCTCAGGATGAAGGATTCAACATTCATCTCCAATGCACGACTTTGTACCTATTGAATAGCACGGTGGTATGAATTCCTTGCACTTGTAGCTGAATGAAACTTTGTATTTTAATACCATTGCAGACTTCTTAAGTCATGCATGCTAGTATTTTGATTCATAGCTAAAACAGGAACAAAGGAATAGCCACAACATCAGGAGAGTTTCTCCCACAGAGCAAGTGGTCTTACAGGGCATCCAAAGGACCGTCTTCTAGTCCCTCTCAGTAGTTAGGGTCAGAAAATCTCACTTCATCCTTACCTCTGCTTCTGTTGAGCTTATAGGAAGTTTCTGTAGGGGAGAACTATCACATGTGATGCTCCTGCGACTTTGGAGACTGGCCCCAACCCTTGCAAAGTTACAGTATTTCCACCACACTCTTGCTCCTCTGTATGTTAAAGAATCCATTCAAGCCCATATATAACTAATGTAAGTAAAAATCATTATTAAATAGCATGATCATATTTTGGGAGAAAACAACAAAACAGGAAAACTGAGCAGAGAAAGAATCCACAGGTACCATTTAAATTAAACCATCACAAAGAGAATCCACTAGAATGACTGATCTTGATATTACCAATCTAATATGCAACAACTTGCAATGACATGAAATTAGTTTACTAAACTAAAACTTTCACCTTGTTTAAATAGTTTAAATAATTTATAATAATAAAAGCATTTTATTTAATGCTTGCTTACAGTAACAGTCCAGTGGCAGAAAAAGGGCAGATTAACAGAACTGAAAGCAGTGCCTTAACTTTTTTTAAAAAACCTAACTTCTTCTTATTGTCCATGCCACAATTCATAACATTTATACAGCCAAAACATACCGAAAAGACTTACCTTAGAAGATTTAATAATCAGTACAAATGGTTGAATTAATTAGGAACAGACACTTTCTGTGTTATAGAATGATTTTCTCCACTTGTACCCAGAGTGGAAGATATTTCAGGCGTGGCTGAACTTGTTTACATGCTTGGCAACATCTCACATTCCACTGCCTTTCACTGGCAGCACAGACTGGGCTAATTTTAATCTATGGCAATCTAAGTAGTGCTTTACTAATGCTTTAAGGGATGGAAAGCTTAACGCAATACTTATTTTCAGGGAAATTTGCACTTATTTACTTGATTTTTTTTCTCACCATACCCAGAGAGACAAAATATTAATTAAAAAGTGGAATCATTAACTATTCCCTCCAAAAAACCTCCTTATAGACTATCTGCTTAGATAAAAGTATGCTTAGATAAAAATGTTGCATGGTTTGTCATACAGATTTCAATGTCTGTATTATGTTTTTAATGTATGTATTATTTTATGCTGTTCTCACATTTTTACATTATATTTTACATATTTTGCTACGTAAGCTGCTTAGGTTCTCAAGAAGTATACAACTAACTTAAAGGAAACTCATCCATTGAATAGATAAATTCCAGTGGAGAAGTCAAACACAGATGCCAAGCATATCCTAAGTCCCTCCCTGAGAATGTGCCAGCACATGCGCTTCTGGGTCAGTTTATGCTAGCATTTTGCCTATTACTGTATCTGGGCCACACAATGCACTCCCCAACCTAAATGGCTACCCTAGTGGAGAGAGAGATCTACCTTACCAACCTCTGATCTGTGGCTGTGGAAAGGCCTCCAGCTGGTATAAGGTGAGATCTGCAGAACCTAAAGCACTACTCTTTCCCCTCACCAGAACGATGGTATTTGGGGAACAATGCCAGTCCTAGAGTTGTTAATTTTCTTCTTACTGATAACAATGGAAGGGATTTGCTTTTATTCTTTAAAAAACCAAAGCCCGTAAAAAGCAAAATACAATAAGGAAAAATAGCTTTACTCCCAATTTCTGCCTTACCAGCATGAACATAGAAAAGGTGGTTTCCTCCTCTATCTCCTCCACTGGATGGTTCCGTCAACTAACAAAACCAGATCCAAAGTCATGTCTCGGAGAGTTTGAACAACATTACTCCTGCCTCACCATTACATAAAGGCTTCATCCAGGCAAGTCTTGACATGGTTGCTTAGCTTAACTTCATTTTGTTTCTACATTCAAATTTGATCCAGCTCAGTTATTAGGGTCACCAAACCACAATCTGAAACTGTGGTTTGAAATTGGCTTGTGAATCTGAGCTCTTGTACTAACTGTGGCTATTGTTACATTCAAGCTTTACATCCTGCCTTAATCTTAGTTCATTGTGTAACTCCATTCTCACTGCCTGATTATTGAGATTCTAAGAGATTATTATTGGTACTTCCACATGCTTCTCAAGGCCTTTCACAGGCCTTTTCAAGTTACCTGGTAACAAGTTCTTTCTGGCTCACTTTTTAGCTTGACTATTTCATTCTGAAGAAGGCTTGTGAAATTTTAGCAAGGGATATATGCTGACTTGGTGCTGGGCAAAATCTTTGCTGGACAGACAGAAAGATAAACAGATGGGTCCTAGATCAAACCAAGTCAGAACTTTCTCTGGAAGCAAAAATGATGAATTGAAGCTGTCATAGTTCAGGCACATCATGAAAAGGTCAGATTCATGGGAGAAGACAATCATGCAGAGAAAAAAGAGAAAACGAACTATGAGATGGATTGATTCCATAAAAGAAGCCATGGCCTTGAGTTTACAAGAACTGAGCTGGACTGTCAAGGACATTTTGGAGAGCATATAGTGTTACCATAGTCAAAGACCACTTGATGGCATGTAACAACAATATTTTAAAAGCATACTCTTGCTCTTAGCAAGCTATGACAACAATTCAACAAATGAAATCCCAATCAAATGAATTTGATTGAAAAGCCTCCCCCAACTTCCACAAGTGCTACCCTGGACTGGGTGTATGGAAAGTCTGTAGGGAGACTTACAGTAGTTCTTGGCAGGGCTTGGAGAATTCCACACTCTCCTTTACATTTTAACTATGATATACTTCCCAAGGTTCATGTCCAGCAATATACTGGCTGGGAATGTAGATTGGAAGAATAGATATAAGTAACAAAGCTTGTAAAGGGTATTCAGTGCAAAAGACCTGCAGCTGAATATACCTAGTTCATCTAAGACAATGGGTGGGTTTGCACAACATGACAAGCCACAGTGGGGGTTTTGTTTTATTTTTGCTTAGGATGGTCTGTTGTCTGAATTCTGTCTTGGTATTTCAGCATGGCATGTTTGGTTTTTGGAAACCACGATAAGACCTACGGTTTCCATGCTTCACCATGGTTTCTCCAGTTATCTGAATCCAGAATTGTGCTTTCCATGGTCCTGCTATGCATCTCTCACAGACTACCCTGGACAGAATGGCAGCTGCTGGAGGAGCCGCTCCACCCATCCAGTGTGGGATTCAATTAAGGATGCAGTGGCCAGTGGTATACATGTCAACAGAAGGAAGACTGAAGATGGAAACCATGCTAGCAACTGACACTGAACAACTGTCAGGTATATCCAGGCAAACACACACACACTGTGGAAACCACACAGGGTTACTTGTTGTGATGTATTATCCCAGGCAATGTAAGAGCTACAACTGAATGACAATCTTTGTGTATAGGACAACTGAACAGCATTTTGAAGCAGCCAAAACTCTGACTGAGGGCTGAACTCGGACATTGTAGAGGAGATGCTTGTTAAGAGATGCAATTCGTTAACCCAGAATATAGCATCATTTAGTGGTTATTTCTAGCATACATGATAGGTACACATCTGTATAACATGCTTGCAAATTGGCAGATTTTAAATGTCAAATATATCAGAGCTTGGTGAATATGGCTATACAGTAGTTTTTTGCACTAGTAGAAGTACATGTAGAAAGCTCTTAGAAAAGCAAAACATGGTCACAGAAGAGCTCTCTTCACTGCAGACAAAGCAAAGCTGATGTCACCTTTTGCCCCAGAGAGGGGCATGTGATTTTCCTTTGCTCTGGCACTATGGCTGTATTCACACATGCACTTTCCTCACATCACAAAGTCAATGGATGACTTACATGTACAAAACCATGTTCCTAATTTAAATACCACAGACACAGCTTTCCACTATCCTCACACTGCTGTCTTGACCAGGTGAAATGCCGTGCCTTCTTCAAGGAAAGAAAATCGATACATCAGTAAAAGGCAACGCTTTGAGTTTCACAGTTTAGTGCATTCAATTATTTGGGAACATGGGATGCTGACACACTGAGTCAAACTGCTGGTCCACTGAGCTCAGGACTGTCAGTGGCACTCCAGTGTTTCAGGCACAAGCCTTCTCCATCCTCACCTGAGATGTCAGAGCCCAAACCTTTTCACACATTGCACACGCTCCACCACTGAGCGCCAACTCTAGTTAATGAGACAGCAAAGGGCGCGGATGCAACAAATGAGAGATTCTCTGCATGAATCAGCATTACGAGCTCAGGGCATGCGCAGTGGCCAGATAAAGCCAATTACTGGATGGGATAAGACAATCCCCGGAGAGGAGTCAGCTAGAGTTGCCACATTATTTGCAGTCGATGGAGCGTAGCAGTCATAAGCTGGTAAGAACAGCACACTGGATCAGGCCAAGGGTCCATCTCGTGGCCAATGAGCAGCCCACAAGCAGAACATGAGCACTCTCCAACCCAAGTTCCCCAGCTACAGGTGTATACAGGTATACTGCCCCTGATCCTGGATGTTAGATGAAAGCATCAGGACTAACAGCTATTGATAGTCTTCCCCTCCATGAATGTATTCAACACCCTTTTAAAGCCATCCAACTGGAGGCTAATCACTGCATCCTATAGGAGAGAATTCCATAGTTTAATTCTTCCTTTTACCTGCCCTGAATCTCACAAGAATCAGCTTTATGCATTCCTCTCAGATTCTGCCATTATGAGAGAGCCCCTTTTCTAACCCAAACAATCCCTGATGTTGTAAATATGCAAAGGAGAATTGCTTTTGTTCCTTGATTATTTTTGTTTCCTTTCCCTGAACTTTCTCCAACTCTTGGAGTCCTAGCTCTGTACCATAACCAAATAAGTTGAAAAGCACGGTTCCCAATACAAATTCCTATGGGACCCTACTGTCTACATCCCTCCATCCCTACTCTCTGTTTTCTGTCATTTAAGCAGTCACTGATCTATGAGATGACCTCTCCTTTTATTCCATGACCACAAAGTTTCCTCAGGAGTCTTTGGTGAGGGACTTTGCCAAAAGCTTTCTGGAAGTCTAGGTGGGCAATGCATATGAGGTAACCCCATACACATGTTCACTGACACTCTCAAAGAATTTTAATGAAATTTCATTTTCCATCTCAAGATCAGTCAGAGCTGGTCTGGGGGACAAAAGCATGTTCCCAGGACTAAATTAGTGCAGGAGCCGAGAACTGTAACCCACATCACTGGCGCACTCCTTTGAGTGTGTTCTAGTCTGCCCAATGCTGCCCTCTTTGATATACAGAGAATGAATGCAAGGAGCCAAGAATCCACCATTCTCAAGAGTGTGGTGAAAGTGCAGTGATTTTGGGGGGACTGGGTGGCCAAAGACCCAAGGGACCTCACATGTGGCAATTCTCTTTAACTAAGAGAACTAGAACAGAACAGTGCTCATTCTGGGAGCGCTACCTATAAGCTTCCATCAGCTTGACTCCATGACGCAATGTAAAGGAGATTCCACAACATTTTTAATTTTTAGTTCCAGCAGTCTGGTTCCACTTTGTTTCATCTTTTGCATATTCTTATATTTATAACAGAGGAGGGCAACATGTGACCTGCATGTAGCCCTCTTAAAATGCTATTGTGCTCTGTTGCCACAATAGGTGCCTTTTTGGGTGGGTATATGGCTTGCTGGGAGGGACATGCTGGGGGCCCACCCTCTTATCCCACTCTTTACAAAATGAGTCATTGCCATCTCTTCACTCAACTGTTCGTCATCATTGTTAATGCACTGTGATTTATATATTTATTATATTTATTTGGAAACCACATTTATTGTGGAAAGGTGAGGTATAATTACTGAAATAACAACATCGATCAGCC